ACAATAAAAGAACAGTTACACGACCGTCTCAACTCCATTTCGGATCTTAACAATCTGTACGTGATTCTATAGAATAAATTCTATCTTTCTGTTTTTTTGCATTTGCGAACATGTCGATAACAGTATCAATGTTTATATCCTGTTCCCTATGGATATGTATCATGGCCAAGGAAGAAAGTCTTTCCTCGTTCATTGTGGAACGCAAGTATGACTTAATGCGTTTCAAACTGCTAAAGCTTCGTTCAGCTCCGCAAGTGGATACTGGCAATGTTAGCAGCTGGACCAAACACGTGTTGACATCGGGGTAAAGAGGCTGGGGGGTCTGTTGAATAGTCTCCTATCGATTTCTATCTCTTGGTAAAATATTTATTTTTCATCACAATTAATCAGGTAAATTTTATTTTTCCTTAAAATTTGAGAGTACGCCTGGGCGTACTTGGCGTACACGTAGCTACGCCACTGCCCTAGTTAACTCAGACCCTAGTCAACTCGGACCCTAGTTAACTCGGACCCTAGTCAACTTCGACCTATTAGTCCTGCAATATATTGCCATATTTTCGAGAATGATGAAAATTTTGGATGCATGCTGTATTTGTAACTTTTCAGTATATTTAGGGTGTCCTGAATTCAAATCTGCCGGATGCAATTTGAGTACTTTGCGGCATTATTCTGTACAGCCATTTCAATATATGCATCTCAGGGTATATTTTTCTCAATTTTTTTCGAAATTGTATTTGTTAATTTTAAAGAATATTTATTAGGTTTTTGGCTTCCAGTATATAAATGCGCATTGTTTAAATATAGCAATAGGTGCACTTGTAATAATTGGATAATTACTAAAACTTCCAAATATCATTAATGGAATATGAACAGCAGATTAGTACCATAGGTAACATATTTGGTCTATAGGAAATGACATTACTCCATATAATACATGTAGTATGGTACCCCTACCCCATTCTTCTAAAATAGTGATTTTCAAGAAAAATACACGTATTAATGATACATAATACCTTTTATCACGTTGGTTTGTGTTTATAATGCTCACATGTAATATTTAATATGTAATGATCAATAAGCATCCATAGTTATCATGATTTGTCTAAATGTAATTATTTTAGTCAAATTTATGCTATACCTACCCTTTTTTAAAGTAAAATAGTACCATGGGTACTTGGCTCACATTGTGTTGCTCAAAAGTGAATGATGGCTAAAATGACAGAAAAAAACGGATATCATTTTTTGCCGATGTTTTGTTAGAAAATTATTTCATACAACTACTCTCTACAAAGACATGGCTTTGTAATGCAGGACACTTGAAATTACTTGTTAAGCTAGGAAATGGGCCAAAAGTGAATTTCCCGAGACAAAAGTGGTGGCGAGCTTTTGAAGCTGGAGTCACTTTTTTTTTCTTTATTGATGTTGAACAACTTAAAACGGGAATCCTATCTACAGAGGATTTAAAAAGAACCAAGTGTTGACAGACAGAGGTTTTAAAACTTACCACTATCTTGGACTGACTGAGAGACAGATAGACAAATCAATGTTAACTAAAATGGCTGAAAAAAAACGGATATGATTTTTTGCCGATTTTTTGTAACAAAAAAATTATTTCATACAACTAATCTTTACAGTGACATGGCTTTTTACAATGCAGGGCACCTGAAATTATTTGTAAAGCTAAGAAATGGGCCAAAAGTGAATTTCGCGCAACAAAAATGGTGGCCATTTTGAAAATAGGCGAGCTTTTGAACCAGGAGTCATAGGGGAGTTTTTTGTATTGATGTTGAACAAAAATAACTTAATAAAACAGGAATCCTATCGACAGAGGTTTTAAATTTATTCGTTTGTTTGGTTTATTTTTATTTTTTTTATTTGTTATTACTTTTGAAATGACCATTGGATTTCAATACGAACCAGTTGATTTTGAAAAAGTGCTGGGGATACTTCCTTAGAGCCTACACTGCAAACACCCCACAAAAATGTTGTCCTGATTTGCAGCCGGGATAACAAAAAATAAACCTGACCGCCGACCACCAACCAAACACTCTCGACAGTTGAGTCTATGAGGTGGGAGGTCGGTGCTTGGTCGGCAGCTGGTTTTTTACACAATCACTTTAAATTGAAAAGTCCTTGATATGAATACCAATGTGCCTTTATAAAGAGAGAAAGACTTACATACACCCTTCTTTCAAATTAACGTCCATGTGCCTATTCACTTAGAACCCCTGGTTGAGTTGAAAATGAATAAAAGTGTCTGGAAATAGATTCAATATGTTCCTGAATCTTATCCCCTCAATTAAAAAACCACTATGAATTTTGTGGTTAAACATAAATTGGAAAACTATTTTGATCTATATTACAATTATATCAGAAATAATCATTCTATCAACATAATTTCATCTAATCCTCAATGGTCCTTTTTCCATATAGCTTTGAAATCTCGTTAAAGTCTCGTTTTTAATAAGATTTTAAGATATCTACATTTTTAACCATTAAAGACTAACATTTATTTCTATTTGATGGCATATTTGAATTCTGTGTGTAATTTTTTATCAAAACAACATTGAATTGCAGCATTATTTACCGTTTTCAAATTCTAATGACTTTATAGTTGTCTAAAAAAAGTTCGGACTAAATCCCCATTGACACAATGCTGAAAAACCTTTAAAAGTTCATTTACTCCTACAAGGATCACAATTTTATTATGAAATCACAATCCACATGTCAATAAGATTATATAGTTACATTCAAATGGTGTTTTACATTGATCCAAATGGAATTAATTCTTAAATCAATAAATAAAGTGACTGTGGCAATACATTTACATGCATTCTAGCCCTACCCTAGCCCTACAAATACCCATGATGCCATCTATTTTCCATTTATATGGAAAAAGGTCAACTGATTCAATTCCTTTCAGATAAAACAAACCAGATGTTAATCCCATGATGACTTTTTGTGCTACCTGAGACCAAGGAACATCACCATCACCGAAACATATTCAATTGGTATTAATGTATAAGTGCTATGATTTGTTACAAAATGCTTAAACACCTGACCCTTATGATTAGGTTTACACATATTTCCTTGCATTCGTGATAAATAAGGCATACATATTTTGAATGGTTTGCCTTACCTGTGTAAAACTGAAGTCCAAATGAAAACAAGGCAGAGACATGAACAATATCATACCTAAAACACAGCAGTGTGACAGTGAAGAATTTAGGACGGAAAATCCAAAATGGCCACCTTAAAATTTACCCAGAATGCCCAAAAACTAATCAGTTCTTAACTTTGATACGTAGAAACATCCCTGAAAATTTCAGATGAATCCATCAAATGGTTTGGCTGGAAACCTGTAGACAAGTCTTGAAAGTGAAGATTTTAGGACGAAAAATCCAAAATGTCCACCTAAAATTAACCCAGAATGCCCAAAAACTAATCAGTTGTTAACTTTGATACATAGAAACATCCCTGTAAATTCCAAATGAATCCATCAAATGGTTTGGCTGGAAACCTGTAGACAAGTCTTGAAAGTGAAGATTTTAGGACGGAAAATCCAAAATGGCCACCTTAAAATTTACCCAGAATGCCCAAAAACTAATCAGTTCTGAACTTTGAAACGTAGAAACATTCCTGAAAATTTCAGATGATTCCGTCAAATGGTTTGGCTGAAAGCCTGTAGACAAGTCTTGAAAGTGAAGATTTTAGGACGGAAAATCCAAAATGGCCACCTTAAAATTTACCCAGAATGCCCAACTTAACTTAACTTTGATATGTAGAAACATTCCTGAAAATTTCAGATGAATCTGTCAAATGGTTTGGCTGGAAACATGTAGACAAGCTGAAAAGTGAAACGCCGCCCGCCCGCCCGCCCGCCCGTCAAGCTGACGACAATATCGTACCTTTCTTAGGTACGATAAAAAGCTTCTCTGGTTGCAAAATTATTGTAAAAACATTTAGAGGGTGTATAAAACAAAACAAAAAATTTAAGGGTTCTAAATGCTGAAATAGCCCAGGTAGGCATTTCCATCCATTTCAAGAAAATAAGCCTGACAAAGAGGATGTAAAGCACTGATAGTTTAGAAAAGGTGAATTTTTCTCTACTAAGGACATTAATTATTTATATTGCAAACAATATGAGGTCAACGGTATTTGAGTTATTGCCCAGACAGACGTACGTACGGACAGAGCCATTCTCTATATCCCTCCAAAGTTCATTCGATTGGATACATAATTACTAAATCATAATCAGGAATATCGTTTTCCAATTGTCAAATTGGTCAGTGGCACCTAAAGCAAGTGAAAATGGCAATAAGATTTCTTGAGACTGCATGTCAACGCAGTGTTTTTCACAAATTCTAATTTAATTTTAACAACTGTGAGGTAGGCTTTTTTCTTTTGGTTAGTCTTTTACATAGTGGTCTGTCTTTTACATATTTTTTCAACCCTGTTTTGAAGCTACCTATGGAAAACACATACTGGTTGGTGGGGTCGGTCTTTTTCATATTCCCTTTTCAGCCCTTTCCACACCTGTCTTTTCAATGTTTGATGCATCAACATTTTGAATTTTGAATTGAGCAGCCATATTGAAAATTCCTTCTCGAGCAGAGGTCCTACACTCATAAGGCATAAGCCTATAAAATTTGAATCAAATCTATCAACCTGTATTTGAGTTCTCACCCATAGAGATGAATGAATTAACTAAACTAATGGACACAGCTTTCTATCATCCATGAACTATGTTGGGTGGGACGTATCACTTGTGTTGAATATTGCAACATGTTGACACATGAATGGACAGATGGACGAAGGATGGCATTTCAAACTTTGTTTGACTGGATCATAACATTGCATTCAAACACAAACAATAAAAAACATATGCTTGGAAAACTATCAAAGGAATTTTTATGTTTTTAACTTTTATAACTTTAAATATTACCTAAAGGTCACATGGCACACACATTAATCTAATTTTAATGCTTAAGAGCCAAATAAATGAGATGAACGTAAAACTGCTTTCGCAATATTAGTTATAATTAAGAACCGACCACAAGTTACGAGAGACTCTTAAAAAGAGCAATTCAGTGATCATACTTCAGGAGACATATCTAAAAAGAGGAATTCAGCGATCATACTTCAGGAGACATTGCAAGGTAGCGCATATTTATTTCTAGTATAGCAAAAGAAATAGATATTATAGCAAATAAACCCCTTGAAATAACTGATAAATAGAAAAATTAAAATTGGGATGAAACTTCATATATTTATTTATATTTTGAAGGTTCGATTAATAAAACTTTAATTTGCACCACTTTATAATTCACAGAACAGAGATCAAGCACGGTAGTGATTCATAGTTGACTACAGAGCAATCAATGGCAGCAGCTGACAAGATGAAGGTATGTACAGTCAAAACATGGGATCTCTTAAAAGTGAAAGCGGTTTTCCTCAAAGGTAACTTTTCATAAATGTTACAGCAAAGTAAATGTTCATAACTGAACAAGATTTTAATCACTTTTCAAATAGTTAACACCAAGAAAAATACTTAAAATAAAGAGGGTCTGAATGACAGAACAAATGGACAAACAAATATCAAAATAGATTTTTGAGTAGATGTCCTATTACTGCTTTAAAAGTTCTTATTTAAGGGTTATAACATTTCATACACCCATGATTTCAAAGCTGAATTGATACTTTCAGAATGTGTTACTGAAGACTCTTGTGGTGTTTATCATGTACCAAGTGACCATCCAATCCCCTGATGCCACAGTGCTAGATATGAGCAGAAGAGGCCATACAAAACTAACAGAAGGCATGTTCAAGGAATATTCCAATCTTAAACGTCTCTATCTGAATGATACTGTTATTACTCAAATTGAACCAGGTGCTTTCTCTGGTTTAGAATCATTGGAAGAATTATATCTTGTGAATAATACACTGACAAAAATAGGAGATGGCATATTCACTAACTTGACATCACTGACCAGACTTATCCTAGCCAATAATGAACTAAGAACATTACCAGATGACATATTCAGTAGCTTGACATCACTGACAGAACTTTACCTTGATGGTAATGAATTAACAATATTACCACATGGTATATTCATTAGCTTGACATCATTGACCATTCTTGGCCTTGGTCATAATGACCTAACAACATTACCATATGGCATATTCAGTAGCTTGACATCACTGACAGAACTTTATCTTGATGGTAATAAATTAACAATATTACCACATTGTATATTCATTAGCTTGACATCATTGACCATTCTTGGCCTTAGTCATAATGACCTAACAATATTACCAGATTGGTTATTTAGAAACTTGACATCACTGACCAGGCTTGACCTTAAATATAATGAGCACTTAACATTACCAGATCCGATATTCAACAGCTTGACATCATTAAGCAGTCTTGACCTTCGGGGTAATGAGCTAACAACATTACCAGTTGGCATATTTAGAGGCTTGGCATCACTGACCATTCTTGGCCTTGGTGATAATGGTCTTATATTATTACCAGATGGCATATTTAGAAACTTGACATTACTGACCAGGCTTGACCTTAACAATAATCGGCTCTTAACATTACCAGATGCAATATTCAACAGCATGACATCATTAAGCAGTCTTGACCTTAGCAATAATGAATTAACAGTATTACCAGGTGGCATGTTTAGAGCCTTGGTATCACTGAAAAGTCTTGACCTTGCTCATAATAAACTAACAACATTACCAGATGGCATATTCAGTGGCTTGACATCATTGACCATTCATGGCCTTGGCTATAACAAACTAACAACATTACCAGATGGCATATTCAGTGGCTTGACATCATTGACCATTCTTGGCCTTGGCTATAATGGTCTTATATTATTACCAGATGGCATATTCAGAAACTTGACATTACTGACCAGGCTTGACCTTAACAATAATCGGCTCTTAACATTACCAGATGCAATATTCAACAGCATGACATCATTAAGCAGTCTTGACCTTAGCAATAATGAATTAACAGTATTACCAGGTGGCATGTTTAGAGCCTTGGTATCACTGAAAAGTCTTGACCTTGCTCATAATAAACTAACAACATTACCAGATGGCATATTTAGAGGCTTGACATTACTGACCAGGCTTAACTTTATGGAAAATTATCTTACAATATTACCAGTTAGCATATTTAGAGGCTTGACATCACTGACCCAACTAAACCTTGGCTATACTAAACTTACAATATTAAAAGATGGCACATTTAGAGGCTTGGCATCACTGACCGATCTTGACCTTGACTTTAACAAACTAAAAACATTACCAGATGGGGTATTTAGAGACTTGGCATCACTGAACATTCTTACCCTTTGCCATAATGAACTAATATACCCAGTTAGAATATTCAATAGCTTGACATCACTGGCCAGACTTTACATTTGCAATAATAAATTAACAACTTTACCGGATGGCATATTCAGTACCTTACCATCACTGACAACACTTGACCTTAGTTATAACAAACTATCAACATTATCAGATAGGATATTCTGTAACTTGACATCATTGACCAGACTTTACCTTGACCAAAATAAACTTAGAACTTTACCAGATGGCATATTCAGTAGCTTGACACAACTGGCATTTCTTGACCTTAACTCTAATAAACTAACAACATTAGCAGATGGCACTTTTAGAAAACAGGCATCACTTATTAGTCTTGCTCTTTACAATAATGAACTAACAATACTACCAGATGGCATATTCAATAGCTTGACATCATTAGCAAACCTTGACCTTACTCGTAATAAGCTTACAATATTACCAGATGGTATATTCAGTAGCTTGACATCATTAGGAAAACTTGACCTTACTCGTAATAAGCTTACAATATTACCAGATATCATATTCAGTAACCTGACATCACTGACTACTCTTGAACTTAAGAACAATGAACTAACAACATTATCAGATGACATCTTTAGTAGCTTGACATCATTATCCGATCTTGACCTTTACTCTAATGACCTAACAATATTACCAGATAACATATTTAGAAGCTTAAGATTAATGACAAGCCTTAGCCTTCAGTCTAATAAACTAACAACATTACCAAATGGCATATTCAGTAACTTGACATCACTGACTATACTTGAACTTAAGAACAATGAACTAACAACATTATCAGATGACATCTTTAGTAGCTTGACATCATTATCCGATCTTGACCTTTACTCTAATGACCTAACAATATTACCAGATAACATATTTAGAAGCTTAAGATTAATGACAAGCCTTAGCCTTCATTTTAATAAACTAACAACATTACCAAATGGCATATTCAGTAACTTGACATCACTGGTCAGACTTAACCTTCGGAGAAATGAACTAACAACATTACCAAATGGCATATTCAGCAGCTTGAAATCACTGAGATATCTTGACTTATCAAATAATAAACTTCAATCAGTCCCATCTGATATATGTTTGTGTATGCCAATGCTGACAAGGTTATATTTACATGGAAACTACATAACTAAAATAAAACCAGAGTACACAGATAATGTTACTGCAATAAGAGCTATATATAGTGACTTCTGTATAAACGTAAGATATTTGGCTAACTCAACAATAACAGCCACACCTTGCAAGACACAGTCATCTATGCATATAACAGAACAGCAATCCACTGAAACAACACAATCTACTCAAGCAATACAACCATGTCCCCAAGCAATACAACCATTTACCCAAGCAATACAGCAATCTACCCAAGCAATACAACCATCTACCCAAGTAATACAACCATTCACCCAAGCAATACAGCAATCTACCCAAGCGATACAACCATCTACCAAAATAATACAACCATCTACCCAAGCAATACAACAATCTACCCGAGCAATACAACCATCTACCCAAACAATACAACCATCTACACTAGCAATACAACCATCTTCCCAAGCAATACAACCATCTACACTAGCAATACAACCATCTACAAAAACAAACAATTCTTTAGTCATTGGCTTGGCAGTTGGAATTCCACTTTCAATTTTGTTGATTACTGTTCTAGCTGTAGTAATAGTATGTCTTAAAAAACGTAGTGGATCATCATATGAGGTACATCTTGATGATACACATACAAATGTGATACATAATAGTGCTTCATTAACTGAAATATCATTCATTAGTAATAAGACTGAACCAGTTGCTGCATATATGAATCCAACTTTTGAAAATTAAACTGGTGACAATATACATCCTGCTTTTAAGCCTCAGTCACATTTGCTCTCCAGTGGCCATAGGTTCACAAAAGCAATATAGAAGATCTATATCATACTGTTATCCTCATATCTTATGCTGCATATTTATCTTGATTTTGGGAAGTTACAGCTGTCACGGCTGTCATATGGTTGCCATAGATTAAATGTGACTGAGGAATTAATAAAAGGAAGGAGGATAAAACTATAATGGTTATGGGTCCTATTTGCTATAAGCAGACTATATCTGCATAATATCATCATATAAATAGAATTTTTTAAACATATGGAAAGGAATAACTGAAAAACTTATCAAAATTATTGTTTCTTGTTTCTTCCTGCTAAAGCATCTGATGGAGATGCATAAATAATGAAAAACAAATAAATTCAATATATAGATATGTGAAATAAAAACATGATCAAAATAAAATGAAATTCAATATCAAGGTATGTGAAATCAGAAAATAATCAAAATAAAATATTAACAACATTATTATCAAGACCCAATGATAAAGAGAGTGTGTCTGATATACTCTTCTAAGGCTTATATGTATACTCAGTATCAACATATTATTTTCATAAAAGATCGAACAGTTGTTTTGTTATATATAAATATGTAATTCACTTGATTGTATATGTATAAAAATATAGGTTTAACTAAATAATAATTGCAAAGATAGAAAAAATCATGGCAAATGTGAACATCTTTTTCCTTTGAATATTTATTTTACATGACTGTATTATATTTGATTACAGCTATTTTTCTCAAATTGTACATACAAAGAAAACTTGTATCTATATTAAAAGTATAATTTACAAGACTGTATTATAATCACAAGTAACAAATATGTTTCTCATTGGACACTACAAAGAAAGCTTGTAATTATTTGAAAAGTATAATTTACAAGACTGTATTATATTCATAAATAGCAAATATTTTTCTCATTTGACGAAAGTTTCTCATTTGAAGAAAGTTTGAAGGAAGTTTGTATTTTATATAAAGACTGTTTAATTTACATTGCTGTATTTTGCACAAAAAGCAAATATATTTCTTGTCATTGCAAATCACTTTTATATATTCAATTCATATGATTTATAAAATATTTTTCGAATAAACGTTAAAAGGAATTTTGTAATAAATGTTTTTTAGCATAATGTATGCGGATGTATTATGTTTGCAAAGAAAATAGTATGTACAGTCTGTGCATATTTCTTTTCTATGATTGTATAGTACTTTCAAATTAACTGTTTCAACATAATTCTTATATTTGCATACTTTAATCATTATGTACATAAATTAAGCCATAAAACATTCAAACTTTATATTTGGATGTCTTGTATTATCCTCGAGTGAATGGATATGTATATTTTCAATAGTATTCAGAATACAATATCATATATTTGAATTGAAAGTTAGGAGATACTGTCAGCTGTATAATACACATATTGGATATGTCTTGTACATTCAAAAGGTAATTGTGCATCTTATTAAAATAATGTAAATAATGTATAGGAAATATATACACTAAGTAAATAATCCACTTAAGTAATAATAAATTCATATACAAGCATTCATATACTTCTGTTTTATTGATGGAATTTATTACAAAGTATCAACATTTAATAGATTTTGAAGATGTTCATATTTGAAGATCAAAATGATGCAATATCCTTCCCTTCACTATTATGCAAAAATAAATGTGAGCTCTACTTTGAAAATTTGGCTTTTTATTGAATATTTGGGTCAATATTATATTTATAACTAATTAAGGCTGCATCCAGATATACTGTAAGCAAAGACAATCTCATCTAATCAAATCCACTCCAGCCAAAT